AGTTAATAAAAAATAGTTCACAGAGAGGTAGTGGAGCTGCCATTCTTAGATTGTCACGCTGCTGCTGCTGAGAGCTAGAGTTCGAGTGATGGGTTTCAAGGTGCACCACCTTCTGCATAAGCTGAGAATCAGAATCACCCTTGGAGGTGATTATGAAAATCAGCTTATTTACCCTCCAAAAAAGCTGTTATAAGTTTTAGTTGGTGTCATAAAGCTGTAACAAACAGTTAGATTCTGCTTTATTTAAGCTAAAATCTATAAGTTGAGTAGGAAAAAGCAGTAACAAACACCCATGAATGTGTTGGAGATGTCACGTCAGAATGGGAAAAGGAAAAAACTTTTTATTATTATTAGATTTTTTGTTTTTTTTAAAGAAACAAAAAGAATAGTGTAAGCTTGCTGAAAAGGCAATCATTGAAAAAGTTGAATGACATGGCAATTTAGAAAAGTTACAGTATGGAATTAGAAGTTAAAAAGAGGTGTGGTGATGGCTTATGAGGACAAAAGTGTCATTTTAATCAATGGAACAATAAATGTATGTGGAGCCATAGAATTGGTTTGTGATATTAACTACTCATTTATTTTTGCACTTCTGAAATGTATCTCCTTGGATAAATTAATCTTTAAAAGCTATTTGTGCTTCATAATGCTATTTAAATTCTTACAGGGACAGGGTGCTTGTGACTTCATTCAATCATTGGATGCTACTAGTAGTCATCCAGATAAAAGTGTTATTTCTCAGTCTACATTGACCAACTGTCATGACAGTAGCCCCTCAAGCAGTGACTTAGTTGAGGATGGGGATTTCAGCCAACAAGGGATGGATGTTGTGTCACATGTAGTGAACAGTTCTGAACATCCTCAAAAGTTGGGGGCAATGTTTGAAATTTCTAAGAGAGATAAAGTGAAGCTGATGGATTTTCAGGCCCAAGAAGAGACGCCAGATGAGCCTATGCGAAAGCATTGTAAACGGCAACGACATGAGGCTCCAGAAATTGATGGTTTCATCCTTGATTCAACAAGTTATTGTTCTGACATGCCACAGTCAAAATCAGGAGACCCTACAACTACGAAGGCACTCCGGGCGTCTACTATAACATCTGAGGTTTTGATTCATCAAAGGCAAGTGGAGTTTTTGTCAGAGATTTCTTTTGCCAGAGCTTCTTTGTCAGAAGGTGTGTCTTGTTTGTGATTTACGTTTCATTATTTAATATCATTACATATGGTTATTTGAATTTTCCTACATTACCAGGAGTTGTGTTTTTTTTATCTCTCTTTTGTTAATGTGGTTCTTATATGAATTCACCTTGTGTAGGTTCTACTTACTACCACAATGATTTTGCCTTGCCTACGACCACAGTGGCCCTGACAGATAATTGTTTGAAGGGAACGGTCGTATGTCAAATTTTAGGGTTTAATGTTAAGGGCTGGTGTGGACGGCTTGTGTTTTCCCCATCTCGATGCCTGATATTTCCTGCTCCTAAGCCTTTCTTTTGTTGTAAGTAGGACTATATACTTCAGTTAGCTTTTTCTTCACGTCTGGCAACCAGGTTTCAAATTTATTTTGCATTTCTTCTCAGGTGTTTTCCCTGCATTTGATCCCATTTTTGTCCCTCAAGATGTCGACACATTTGATGCTGAAGCACCAAACATTGCAATGCCGAGTCTGTCACCTGCTCAATCTAACAAATCATCTTTGCTTACTCCTCCTGGTCAGCCTTTAGGTTCTTCTCTTTCGGGGCCATCAGGTCTCAGCCCTCCTTCCAAAATTTTACAAGGAAACATCATGACAAATTCAATTGTTGAGGTATTCAAGCAGGCTGCAGTGCGCCTTCAAGATGATCTTCTCAATGTTTTGAAGTCCAAGGATTTTCATGATCATGAGTCTATGATCCTAGAGGCCTGTTCTATTTTTGGTGCTCTAGATGCTCTGTTTGTTGATTCTCAACCCTTTAAAGAACAAGTGGAGGAATTTATTGGTTGTGCAGCATCACTTGCTAAAGTAGAATTGTCTATTAACAATGACCGCTCTGCACAGGAGCTTGTTATCATGTACGAACGCAAAAAACGACAGTTGGAAGATATTTCTCGTCGTCATGCTGAGACTCGGGCTGCTTTAGAAGCTTCTAATGAGCACCATCAATCCCTTCAAAAAGAGGCCTCCCGTGTCAAGGATGAGCTTTTACGTATAGAGGAGCAATTGTCTTCTTGTGAGGGTGAGAAGATGAAGATAGGGAATCGCTTGGATCAAATCACTGACGACATGTTGAATTCTGAGGCAAGTTTACAAGTTGCATTTGGTGAGGCAGAAGCTGCTATGAAACTTTGTCAACAGAGGGAAGCAGAAAGGAATGTTGCAAAGGAAGCCTTTGAGAAGGCGAGGTCCAACCTGCGACGAAGCTTGTGAGTGTGTTGATTTAAATTTGGTTGTATACTCTCTCTCTCTCTCTCTCTGACTTTAGGTATGCCCATGCCCTTTAATTATGTGTCTAATGATAAAGACTTGTTCCTTTATTTATGGTTGCACCTCTTATTTATCTTGAGCTCTTTTAATCTGGTTTTTATGGTGAGCAGTGACTTTCAATTCCCTTGTTAACAAGGTTTGTAAGGTGTACTTAGTTAACATCTCAAACTTTCTCCAATTGGAGCCAGTGGCTATGTTTCTATTAGGATTTGTCAAGGGCAATGAAAAGGGTGAGCATTATGGCCACGGCTGAAACGGTCCAATGAATCCAATTGTAAATTGTAAAGATTGATGGCATGCTCTGACTTAAAGTTGCTTTTACTGTATATTCAAATATTTTAATAAAAAATTTATTATTCGTTTTTTGGATTTGCGTCAATAGTTATTATTGTAAATACTATTTATTGAAAGTGCAATTGGACCTATCAAATCAAATCTTTTGCTGCAAAAAGAAAAGTCGCGAATTGCAAATTTTGAATAAGGAAAAGCAATGCGAAGATTGATACGTCAGAGGAGCGTGTATTAGGCGCGCAGAGGAGTGTCTCCTCCCCCGACGGGTAGAATTTTGGGTATAAATATAAGTATTTTGTTGCGAGAAAAATTATTAACTTGAAGAGAAAAATTTGTGTTTTCAAAAATTTTGATTATATTTTTCACTTGGTTCTTTTACTTTCAAATTTAAGTATTGTCTTTATTCTTATATTAAAGGAGAGCTGAAATATTTCTTATCTTTATTGATTATTTTGTGAGAGAATTTTATAAAGGGCAGTCATTTATTGTTCTCAAGGAGGATCCATGAAGAGTGGACACAGATTCGGCATATCGAACCAATATAAATCGATGTTTTTCATTTTCTTTTCCTATCTCTTTTACTTTTATTTTTATTATTATTGTTTTGTTATTTTTTTTTATTTAAATTTAGATATTTAGATTATTATATTTAAAATTGTAAAATTATTTTTTAATTAAAAGGAAATGGGGTTGTTGGCTGCTGTGCTCCCACACAACAGTCATTGTTGTACCCTCGTATGGGCCTATTTTGAGACTCGTTTTAATAATCAAAATCACTCACTTTTTAGAACATATTAAGTAGAATATATCTGTAAAAAATTAAAACTTATTGAATATCATTAACATTTTCATTGACTCACATTGTATCAACAAAATTAAATGACAAATGTGCTTTGAAGTAAAATGAAATGTGAGTTGATGAATTGTTGGGATATACTTTCTTATTGGAGTGTGAGACCTAATTGATTTGTTAAAAGAATTTTAATTTGGTTTTGTTTAGGTATAATATATTTTTATATATTATATTTGTGGAGACCCAATTGAATTTGGATACAACTAAAATTTTGATAAAACAAACCCAAGATTTAATATATATATATATATTATATTCATTCGATGCATCTGGAGAGAGGGCCGCGGCTGCTATACATACAAATTCGGTAGCTTTTGTCTATGTAAGAGCAACAGTGGTAGGTCAAAAAGTCAATTCGGTGGATTAATTGAATAAGCTTGCTGTGTGATTTTCAATTGGTGTTTGGGCAATGCTATTGCTTGATTAGTTGATGCTACTGTTCTCCGTTCTTTCGAAAGATAGTTTGGTTCGTTATTTTGGGTCCTCTTCAACTCTGGTTCTGAAAATTTTGGTTCTTCTATTTGGTGAGGTCTTTCCTCTTGTTTATTTGTGATTATTTGGAATTTACCTAAGGGTGGTTTTGTGAGACCATTCGTGTCTCGTTTGTAATCGTTTGGAAACTTATTTGGTTGATAGTGAAATCGGATTTCGATCCCGTGGACGTACTTTACATTGAGGGAACCATGTAAAAACTCTTGTGTTGTTTTTGATTTAATTTTTCCGCATTAGTTTTTATTTCCATTGATTGATTTACTTGTGGAGAATTACATATTTTTCCTAACAACTGATATCAAAGCTTACGGTTTATTTGGATACATTTATTTGTGTAAATCAATGGAGGGGAATGTGGGTCATAGGTCTAGCTTCAATGGAAGCAATTGGGTAACTTGAAAAACTAAAATAGAGGACCTATTATTTTGTAAATATTTGTATGGACCTATTGAGGGTGATAGTGGCAAACCCGAGGATATGAAAGATGATAAATGGAATAGGCTTAATCGAAAAGCCGTTGGTGTTATCCGTCAATGGATTGATGACAGTGTGTTTCATCATGTTGCTACTGAAATTTCGGCACATGATTTATGAAAAAAATTAGAGTCTTTATGATAGAAAATCAGCCACAAATAAAGCCTTTCTGTTTCGTAAGTTGGTTAATTTAAAATATAAAGATGGCATCCCCATTCCAGAACATTTGAATGAAATAAAGAGTATTGTTAACCAACTTGCTTCTATAAAAATTATTTTTGATGATGAGTTGCAGGCTTTGATGCTACTTAGTTCTTTGCCCAAAAGTTGGGAAACTTTGGTTGTGACAGTTAGTAATTCGACATCTGATGGAGTTGTCACAATGGGCCAAGTCACTAGTTGCCTGTTGAATGAAGAAATTAGAAGAAAATCAACGGGTTCCTCTTATTCAGAAGCATTTGTTGTGAGAGGTCGAAGTAAAACAAGAGGGAGGAGTAAGACTCCTCATGGCCATGATCAAAGTTATGACAAATCAAAAGATGGTTCTTTTTTAAAGAAAGATATTGAGTGCTATTATTGCCATGAGAAAGGGCACATGAAACGAGAATGCCGAAAGCTTAAGAACAAGGAGAAAAGGCGTGACAAAAGTGTGGATAAGAAACAAGAAGACACAACGGCAGTTACTACCGATGATCTCATGGTCGTTTGTAAAGATAATTGTATTAATTTTGTGGGCCAAGAGAGAAATTAGATAATTGATTCCGGTGCTTCTTTTCATGTGAGGAGATTATGGTTCTGTTCGAATGGGTAATGAAGGTTTGTCCAAGATTATCGACATGGGTGATATTTGCTTGGAAACAAATTTGGGCTGCAAGTTGTTGCTTAAAGATGTGAGGTATGTTCCCGACATTCGCCTCAATTTGATCTCTACTGGAAAACTAGATGATAAAGGCTTTAACAACAAATTTGGTGATGGAATATGGAAGCTCACAAAGGGTTCTTTGGTGGTGGCTAAGTGCAAGAAGACTCATACACTTTATTCGATGCAAGGAAAAATTTGTAAAGGTGTTGTCAATGCACTTCAAGATAATACTTCTACCGAATTGTGGCACAAGCGACTTGGGCACATGAGTGAAAAAAGGCTGCAAGTTTTGTTCAAGAAAGAGCTACTACCCGGTTTGAAAGGTACACATCTCAAAACTTGTGTTCATTGTTTGGCGGGTAAACAACATAGAGTTTCTTTTCATAAAAATGTTGCTTCCAGAAAAGAAAATATTTTGGAGTTGATTTATTCGGATGTTTGTGGTCCTTTAAAAGTTAGAACACATAGTAGTGCACTTTATTTTGTTACTTCCATTAATGATTATTCAAGGAAAGTTTGGGCTTTTCTACTAAAAACTAAAGATCAAGTTCTAGAAGTATTGAAGCATTTTCAGGCCATGGTTGAAAGAGAAACAGGGCAGAAATTGAAGTGCATCCGATCAGACAATGGTGGTGAATACATTGGGCCATTTGACGAGTATTGTTGCAGCCAAGGTATTCGGCACCAAAAGATAGTTAAGAAGACTCCTCAACAAAATGGCGTTGCCGAGAGGATGAACCGCACCATTGTGGAAAGAATAAGGCGTTTGCTTTCACAAGCTTAATTGCCAAGATTCTTTTAGAGTGAAGCAATGAAGACAGCGGTTGACGTAATCAATTTGCCTCCTTCCTATCCTTTGAATGGTGATGTTCCAGAAAGAGTTTGGACCGGTAAAGATGTATCTTATGAGCACTTGAGAGTGTTTGGTTGCCGAGCTTTTGTTCACATTCCAAAAGATGAGAGGTCCAAGCTTGATAGCAAGTCAAGACAATGTATTCTTCTTAGCTATGGGCGTGATGAATTTGGGTATAGATTGTGGGATCCGGTCGACATAAAAATCATCCGAAGCCGTGATGTTGTGTTTCTTGAAGACCAAACAATTGAAAACTTTGGCAAAGGTGATCAACCGGAGCCAAAAACTAGTGATCTCATTGACATAGATCCATCCCCTTCATCTTTGGTGGATGATGAAAATGGGGGAGATGTGCAGCCACCTATTGAAGATGTAGAGGATGATGCTAATCCTAATAAAGTTGAGCCAGAAATTGAGGAGGAGCATCCACCTCAAGAACCACCACCACAACTTGAGTTGAGGAAATCTACAAGGAACCGACAACCTTCAAGAAAGTATCCTCCCAATGAATTTGTGTTGATTTCCGATCCAGGGGAGCCTGAGCGCTACCAAGAAGCAATTGAGCATGCAAAGAAAGGTGATTGGAAAAAGGCCATGGACGAGGAGATGAAGTCCTTACTTGAAAACCAGACTTATGATTTAGTGAAGTTTCCTAAAAGGAGGAAAATTTTGAAAAATAAGTGGGTTTTCAAATTGAAAAATGATGACAAGAATCTGAGGTACAAAACACGTCTTGTTGTGAAAGGCTTTGGGCAAAAGAAAGGTATTGACTTTGATGAGATTTTCTCGCCGGTTGTGAAGATGTCTTCTATTCGGGTTGTATTTGGCATGGCTGCAAGTATGAACCTTGAAGTTGAGCAACTTGATGTGAAGACCGCATTTCTTCATGGTGATCTTGAAGAAGAAATTTACATGGAGCAACCGGAAGGTTTTGTGAAAAAAGGAAAAGAGAAATTTGTTTGCACATTGAAGAAAAGTTTGTATGGTCTCAAGTAAGCCTCGCGACAATGGTACAAAAAATTTGACTCTTTCATAATGAATAATGGTTTTTCTAAAATCACTTCGGACCATTGTGTGTTTGTGAAAAATTTCTCGAATGACAAATTTATTATTCTTTTGCTTTATGTTGATGACATGTTAATTGTGGGTCAAGATTCTACCATGATAAACAGGTTGAAATTGGAGTTGAGCAAGTCTTTTGCTATAAAAGATTTGGGGCCGGCAAAGCAAATTCTTAGTTTGAAAATTGTTCGTGATCGCAAAGAGGGGCTGATTTGGTTATCTGAAGAAAGCTACATTGAGAAAGTTCTTGAGAGATTCAGCATGGATAAAGCAAAGCCGGTTGGTTCTTCACTTGCGGGTCACTTCAAGCTTAGTTCAAATCAATGTCCTACAAGCGAGAAAGACAAAGTAGAGATGTT